GGATCATCTATTCGCTTTTCATAGATATCAACACACATGTGTAGGTCTTCAGTTCATCATGCATGGGCCCTTAACTTGGACAACACACAGAAATATTATCATAGATAAACAACTTACTAAACAAGCATAAAATTATTATCACAAATGACGACATATAGAATAGACACAGATGAATCTCACGAATCCCCTACATCTCCCATGCATGGGGGATATTACTCCGCATGAGAGGGGCATGGCCAAATATCTGAGAGATACAAAGGTAAATCATCTCAATAGTATCACAAAGATCCGCAATAAGATGAATGTTTAAAAAAGTCTCGATCTCAAGATGAGTATGAGTAGAATTACAAACCCTAATATTACAACTTGGAATTCCTATCCCTATGGTGGTGTTGTGATGAAATGGAATGGAGATGGAGATGGGGCAGAAGAGAAGGAATGGGTCTTCGGCGATTCTTCATCTCCGGATCTCCCCTTTCTTTGTTCTGGATGTGGTGGCAGCGGGTGCCTCTCTATTCCTATGATGTTGCCTTCACAGAAGTTACTTGTGTAGACGAGAAGGCGGCGACCCTGCATGGTACGGCCGCTGGTACGAGTGGGAGCGCTCGTACCATGTGTTGTCTTGCACTCTGGTTGCCATATCAATTTTTTGCCCAAAATGAAAGTTGTTCCAAATGGCTTCATTTGTTTGGATTGATTTGTTTCCTTCCAAATATATTTATACCTGCACATCAATAGTACAAAAAAGTTTTCTTCTTTCCCTGAAGGATTAACGTTAGAAAGAAGCGAGAAATATCAAACACCCTTTGGAAACCACATCAAACCCCTCTTATAAGAGTGACAAAATATTGAGCCATCAACAAGCATCCGCAAATACAAGAGAATAATTAAGATAACATCTAACCATAGCCGTAAATTCGAGGGTTCCAACATCCCTCCTGCAACAATTCATAAACTGAGGGTACAGTAATATCTGTGACTCTTGCCACCCATCCATGAACAAACTAATCACATGATACACTCCTCTAGGCCTGTAAAGATGAAGTGATATGCAGTCGCGTTCACACATCACCGCTAGAGTGACATCACAACATAATATCAAAACATTGAACTAGATTCAACTTCACAAGAATACTAGCAACAAGGTTTATCCGCTGCTAGATCTACCGTTTCACCAATATAATGACCGAGCACATTACCTTTCAGGCAGAGGTCTAGGGCTGGTTTCCTACCACGAGTACATGAAGTCATCTTTGTATTTGGGGAATGAACCGTCGATTGGATGTAGGGGAGCATCTCGCGCCACACCGTGCATGAAAAGGAGCAGCTCGTGTGGAGATGTGGCATCGTCTCCTCAGACTAGTCACAAAATACGGAATTAGGTGTATCCTTCAGGCCTCATCTCGCCAGATGTTGAGCAATCCAATTTAAACCTATAAGGATGCTAGCCGACCCTCCTCCACGGAGCTCCCCCGGATTGGCGCGTTCGTGGCCATCGGATGTGCTTTGACTTTCGCTGCTGGACGTTGGATCAGTTGACCGCATGGTAAAAAATGTTACTTCTGCTTTGCTTTCACGTTTGGCTGACCTGTAGCCCTTTTGCTTCTATAGTTCGGCTTGTTACTTGACCTGTAGCCCTTTTGCTTCTATAGTTCGGCTTGTTACTTGTGGGTTTTTCGAACGGGTGTAAGTCAATGTGTTGCGTGCGCGTGGTCGTATGTGACACCCATCTCTATGGCTGACGGGAACGCGAGAACCACGCGACGTGCGAGAGAGAGCGTCGAGAGCGCGCGAACTGTGCGACGTGCGAGGGAGAGTAGCGCGCGTGAGGTCTTCAGCGTCCAATCCCTGTGCGCCTCAGGGCCTCAGGGGGTACTACACCCATTCGTCACCACCACACCAAACCCCACAGCGGCTCCTCCGCAGTCGCCCGCAACCCTTTCCCTCGAACCCCGCAGCTGTCGTCCTCCTCCATCCTCTCGCGCCTCCTCCCACTCCCATCCAGCCCCTTCCCCGCTCATCCCTGAAAGGATCCGAGACGTGCGGGCACGGAGGCGAAGGGCGATGGCGGCGGCGCTTGATTTGAGGCAGCGTCATGGATCGGCCCCTGCTGAGCGACAAGATTGCTGGACTGCCACCATCTCACCTCGCCCCACCAGCTTCCAGCGCCATGGATCCGCTGGAGATGGAGGGCAACAAGTGAGAGGGAGTAGGAGAAGAGGTGAATCGAGGGAGTGAAAGAAGAACCTGACACGGGAAGGGGAAGAGGGAGTCTTGCGGCGTATCCTCATCTCATCCCGGCTGCAGATCTTTTGACGCCATGGAGCCAGCTGCTCTTGCTCGACGGCACGATACACAACACTGAGGTAGGCTCGACTACCTTTCTCCTCTCTCCCGTGTGTTTTGGTCTCTGTTGATTTCCCCTCTTGCCTGTTCTAATTCGTGGGCAAAACAATGGAGGATTTCTTCATTGTTGATCTTATTTGGGGCTGATTTCCCCCTAGATTCCTTCCTTTTACAGTTCCTTTTTGACTTGTTGTTCATCACGTCGATGGCTTCCACAGAGCAGAGGAAAGTATGCCCTCTTCATCTAGGCAGAGGAGCGGGACGGCCAGGAGCTGTCGTCCTGCTACCCTATGCCAATGGACGCGCCTCCCAGATGGCTAGCAACGCCAGATCCAGCTGGAAAGGACTCTATGGTAGGTTTGGTTTGTTCTTCATCCCATGAAGTATAGTTTTTTCTGTAATTTATTTATGTAAATTAACCTCAAGACTTCATAGAGGTAGTCGTCTTAAAGTACTTTGAAGTATTGTTATTGGTCACATGTTTATTAGGTTTAGATGCCACTACTCTACATGGGTTGTTACTAACACAAATTGCTGTTGCATACCAGTCCTACTCCCTCCGTCCAGAAATTCTTGTCTTAGATTTGTCTAAATACGGATGTATCAAGTCATGTTTTAGTATTAGATACATCCGTATCTAGGCAAATCTAAGACAAGAATTTTGGGACGGAGGGAGTATTATTGAAGCCACTGGATAGCTGTCGTTAGCTGTAATGTGATTAGCTACCAATCCTATTATTGAAGTTATTATGGTATATGTTCCTGCTACATAAATATACTTTTGTGAACATGAAATTGCATTTAGTTTTAGTATTCTCTGGTGATGGAAAAGCTAATCTGTATCAAGCTAGGAGTATAATTCCTTTTTGTAAATCTGGCTAATGCTGACAATGGACATGCTTTGATGTTTTTCTCTTCTCATATTGTTAGGCAGATTGAGAAGCTGATCCAAGCGAAGCAATGACGTAAGCTGCTAGGATAACTTCTGCATGGTACTTCCTGTAAGAAAAGCTTCATAATTCGATCAAGTATATTGATGAACAATGCATATAATGTTCATAGATTATGACTTTACACATGTAATGCTGATTTGAAAATTTCCCTTGATTTGTTCCTCAAATGTTCTGAGAGAGTGTTGCGTATTAGGAAACCCATTGGATAGTTAAGGTGTTGTTTCAGCTGACTAATATAAAGTTATATTTCCAGCAGAAGATATTTGAGATTGACGTTCTGGTGAGAAAGTAGCATATAGATGGATGGACATGAGCTATCCAGTGTAGGTTCAAACAATTCATTCATTCATTGCAGGTTCAGCATGTCTCATTATGTCTTTTTGCTTCATATTCAGGGTCGAACTGGGCTATATTTCTTTCATTGAGGCGAGGGTGATTCCAGTAGGTGAGGTGCATTTTAGACATCCGGATGTCTTGCTATGTTCAGGCGTACTCGCCTTTTTTTCTTGAAGTTAGGCGTTCGCTGTCTCTGTGGCAAGGTGAGCTTATCCCATTTACTTTGTTCATTCCAGAGCTCTATTTTTGAGTCGCCGAGTCAAGCCAAGTCGCCGAGGCTGTGGCTAGTGGCTTGCTGGCTTGAGTCAGCGACTTGGCTTGATTAGTCGCCCCAAGTCGCCATGGCTTAGAATAGGATTTAGTGGTAGAATTAGGAGTGATATTACCTTGTAATCTTTTATAGTTGGCAATGGAAATCCCTTTCTGACCTTGTGCAAGCTCGTCTTTGTTGATTGCAGGTGCACCTTGCAGTATAAATGTAACAGCAAGCATGAGCATCAAGTTGTTTGCACCTTGCAGTATATATGTAATAGGAAACTTGCACATTTGAGTTGAAATAAAGAGGAGAACTTACTTCTTGTGTGTCCATCTGTCCCAATTTGTTTTCCTTGATGATCCTTTTCTCTTTGCACCTGATCACCTGATTCAGATAAGGAAAACAGCAGCAGTTCTACATATAAATACCATCACAGATCACAGCAACAAGTATTACAACAGAAATTAAGCATTAGTTCATTACATTTAACTACGAACTACCAAGTTCTTAACTCTTAACAACCAGCCCCAAATCGACCCCAAATCCTATGTCCAAAATAAGGGATAAGGCACACCAGCCCAACCCCCAAGCCCCCAACTCCATATGTCCAAAAAGAAGCCACAAGGTCCACACCAGCCCCAAATCCTATGTCCAAAATGAGGCACACCAGCCCCAAGAGCCCCCAACTCCATATGTCCAAAATGAGGCACACCAGCCCCAAGAGCCCCCAACTCCATATGTCCAAAATGAAGCCACACCAGCCCAAGTTCCATCAATCGTCCTAGTAATCCAGATCATCATCAAAGCCAATGGAGCCTCTCTCTTCACCTCCACCTTCACCTTCACCTTGATTTCCCTCTTGATCATCTTCACTTGTTGAATAATCTTCAAGCTCAACCTCCTGATTTGCATCATCCTCCTCGTCCTCATCTTCTCCAACTTGGTGCTCTCGAGATCGAGAATAGACATGAGTAACAGCAGCCTGGCTCCCACTCCCACGGCTTCTAAGGTTGCGCAATGGACCTTCAGATGCACCGACAGCTTCGTCAACTTGAGCCCAAGTGATATCAGCCCCTTCATAAACCGGCTGGGCATTATGGTCAACCCATTCATTGTCCCATTGTAAGTCTTCTAGGACTAATGTCTTCTAGGACTAATGGGTCAGACCTAGTCCCTTTGGAGCCTTCCTCACGAATCTTTTGGAACCTATCGGCATTCTTCCGGTTGTATTGAACATATGACAAATCATTAAGTCTTTGGAACTCCAACCTATTTCTCTTTTTGCTATGGATCTGAAAACAACATACAAGAAAACAATTAGAAAGGCTACCATAAGCACCCCACCAAAGAACTACAGAAGTACAATGAACATCAAGTTGGTACTTACTACTTACATTTTGAAAGCAAGACCAATTTCGTTCGCAACCGGAAGCTGAAGCACAAAGGCTAACTATGTGCTTTGCTAAATGTTGCAGCTCATAAGCAAGGCCACCATAAGCACCCCACCAAAGAACTGCATGAGTACAAATGAAGACAATGTTAGAATTCTTAATCCAAAAAAGATAGGTGCTGAAATTTATGAAAAAGTAGAAGGCTAGAGCTGAAGTAACTTACGAGGACTCTTTTTTGTTCGGTCATTGATTGCCAACTTAGAGCTGAAGCATTCACCTTCACCTCTTTCATAGTCATCAGCCAATCTACTTATCACGCTTGCTTTATCATCATCGGGCTCCATGTGCAATAGCACCTCATTGAACATATGCCTAAGCCTTTGACAATATCGTGCTTTCTCGGGCTTAGCTTTGAGACCATAGATCCTATTTGGGTTTAAGAATAGTGCAGCTCCATACAACTTCACCCCCATTTGAGATTCCCACTTGTCCTCTACTATTTCTGTCACCTTCTTAACCAACGTTGGTTTGTCATCTATCGCAGCCTTGATTCTCTCCTTTGCATAATCCATTGCTGCCATAACCTCGGGCATCGCCGGCTTCTCATCGCCATCAACAATCCTTAGCACCCTTAGAAGAGGTAGAGAAACTTTCATGCAAGTCTCTACTGAGTTCCAAAAACTAATGGACAACACATCTTCTTGAACTTTTTGTCCCACCGGTGAGGTTGACAACTTCTTATTGCTATGCCAAACATCACCCACAAACAATTCTTTGAGAGCTTGCCTATGTTTGTGCAAGCTTTGCAAGTTGAGAAAATTTGTGGCAAAGCGAGTAGCTCCAGCCCTCACAAGATCACGGTTGTCGGTCTTCACTCTCATTTCATCTAAAACCTTGCCATGCCTGTAGATGAATGTAGACACCCTTTTTCCATTTGTAATACACTCGCTGAATTGCTTGATTTTGCAAATGGCCTCCAACATAAGGTTCAAACAATGGGCTGCACAAGGGGTCCACCATAATGTAGGAATCCTCTCTGTTAAGAGTCTACCCGCTGCCTTGTAGTTAGCACCATTATCCGTGCAAATCTGAACCACGTAGCCTCTTCCAATGTCGTTGATCCTTTTCTCCATCAAATCTGCCAACAATTCTTTGCTGGCTACTAAGGCTGGTATGTCAACGCTATCAATGAAGAAAGTCCCGGCTGGACTATTGACAAGGAAGTTGACCAAGTGCCTAGTCCTCCCATCGGTCCACCCATCGGACATTAGTGTGCAGCCATACTCTTGCCAAGCCAGCTCATGTTGCTCTCTCAATGCATGTGTCTTCTTCTTTGCTTCCACAAGAAGTGGAAGCCTAAGAGCATGAATAGTTGGGGGGATGTAGCCTGGACCATATTGCCCGGTGGACTCCAATGCAATCTCAAAGGCTCTTGATCGGGTAACATTGAAGGGAATGGCATTGGCATAGAAAAATGCTGCCCAATGATCATCAACTCTATCCTTATCCTCGGTGGTCCTTTTGAAGCAACCTGCGTTCAATGCGGCTTGAGAAGGATTCTTCGAGTGCCTTAGCTCAATGACTTCTTCCGGAGTCTTCCTAATCATCCCGGCAATTGTTCTTGAAGCCTTTTGTGTATGTAATTCAGTTTGGACAGTCTCGGCCTTCCTTTTTGCTGTTGTCCTACTACTAGTTTGAGTTGCTGTTGCATCCTCTTCTTCATCACCAGTTGCTGTATCTTCTTTATCAGACTCCCCTGGCATATTATGCTTCTTTGCGTAGGCCTTCATGAAATCCAGCATCTTCTTTGAAACAGCCTCTGGCACCTTCTTGCATTTTATAGAATTCTTCTTCCCTTTAGTACTAGCCCCAGCTAGGTGACGCTTGAACCTTGCTATTCCAGCATGCACATCTGTCCCGCAAAAAGTGCATCGTATCCTATCCCTCCTGTTCATATCATGCCAATACCCATACTTCCACCCAGGGTCTCCCGACTTTGCCTTCCGCTTAGGATCCTTGGATGGATCATACTGCTCAGGCTCAGGCCCATTGCCGCCGGCTGCACTATTGACAGTTTGGTCAGTCATCCTCTAGCTGCAGCCAAGGTGCCTGCAGAAAAAACAGAGCAGCACAAGTAGTAATCAGTAATTACTAATTAGAGCAGCAGGGCACATCAGTACATAGAGCAGCAGAGCACATCACTACATCAGTAGATCTACAGCAGAGTAAATATAGAGCCCACCCCACGCTATCTTTCCTTCGGTCCTTCTACTTCCCCAGTCCCCACAGCAGCAGCAGCAGAAGCAGAGCACACAGCAGCAGAAGCAGAGCAAAGAGAGGCAGAGGGGGCGACGAGCCATACCTGCAGTCTTTGCTGGCGCAGGCGCAGGAGAAGATGGAGGCGGAGGCGGAGGAGGCTAGTGGGGGCAGGTCACCGGCGGAGGAAGCTCTTGGGGGTGCGCGTCACCGGCGGATCTGGAGGGGCACGTCGCCGGCGGCCGTCGATCTGGAGTCCTAGGTCAGGAGACCCGCGCGGTTTCCCTCCATTTCCCTCTCTTCCTCTGTAGTTCCCGCGTGGCTCTCTATTTATCCCCCCACCCCAAAATATCTCTGGCAGGTGGGCCGATCTGGAGCAAGCCACGCGACTGGCGGCTATTAGCCGCCGACTAATCGCGGCAAGTCGCGGGCGAGCCAGCGAGTCGCGCGACTTGCTTCCTGAGCCAAGTCGCCTGCGCGAGCCAGCCACGCTGCGACGACTCGGCGATTAGTCGGCGACTCAAAAACGTTGTTCCAGAGTCAAGATTCATATTCCCTTAACTATCATTTCATTTGTGAGAATTTACTCCATTGATCTATGTCGTCGGCATCCTGACAATTTAGATTTTTCTGCGGATCACAATTGCTTCTGAACACACCGACCCATCTCATTGAGGAAATTCCTCTGCTCCGCTTAATTAAAATTAATGTGAAATATGTTTCTACCCAAACTAATTACAATTTATTCTTTTTAGTTACTACTGATTTTCAGTATGAAATATTGGGGGCCGAGTACTTCAGTTCATTTCCCAGTGGATATGGCACACACATGTATCATCGTTGTTATCGTAATTGATACCAACACCTTGACTGAATCGCATAGAATAGACTACCCTGATAATTCTTGCACAGCTAAGCTATATGTAGAATATATAATAGACTGTTTGCATGCCCTGGGGACCTGTCTAAATAATTCTTGTACACATGGACGTTGGGTATGTTAGTAATCGCCCAAGAAATTAGCAGTTGGAGATTATTTGTTGAAAAATCTAACGGTGTTTCCTTCTTACATTCAGCTGCTATTTCAGTAGTTCTAAAATGTTCTGCGAGATAATGTATATGAATACATAGCTATGTTCATGTATCATGTATGTGTAGATTTGCATAATAATTTTTTGTATGGCAAAGGTTCATATTGTTGGAAGGGAAATTAGTAGCTGCACCTTGGTACCTGCAAATAATTTGTTTTACAGTGTCGCTTGATGGTTCTCCACTTCAGATACTAAAGATACCGACAGTGCTTTGTTTAGGATCTGGGGAGTCGGATTGTGGATTACATGTAGTGGGGAAGAAGAGATGGGGACGAGGAAGAGGACACCCTTGGTGGCGTGCTATATCTCACTAGGCGACAATGTTGAGAGGGTGCCTGGCATCAAGAACCCGACATGCTTTTCCGAGAGTTCGTTCAGGTGAGCCACCTGGGCAGGTCTATGGGTTGAGGTGGTTTGATAATCCTGGGTTGTTCCTCTTTTTCCTGTGTTTTTTGAGGAAATGACTTTATTAGTTGGAAAATGGCAATATCGTTTACAAGTATACATGAAACAAACTATTTTTCCTACACCTCTTTGTTCTGTGTAATGGTGCTCTTGGCTGAGTGTGCTGACGGAAGATATTCCATGCTACAGGCTAGGTAGCTTATCAGTAAGTCTTCGTGATTTACTTGCAATGTTGTTCTTTGCAAAATTGTTCCTTGCAATCCTAAAATGGTTTCTCAAAACATAGGAAAATTTACATTCTAAAAACTGTAGGCACACTAAGTGAAGCATATATATAATTCTATTGTAACAGAGGTCACACATTGTATACATATAATTCTCTATAGTCAAATTATTATAATACGATTTTATTAGAATAGAGGTCAGGTACTGCCACGACGTAAGAAGGAAGGTGTGACACCAAGTTTTATACATATTGTGATTTCAGTTTTCATCAATGTCGCTATTATTATTATTATCTCTTTGTAGCTTCATATAAAATCAGTACTGACACGGTCATTTTACGAAGTGTAAAAATGGTAGGTTGTAGAATCATAACCTGTGACTGAGTGCCTTAAGAAGTTCCTTTCATTATCGTTAAATAATATAATGTTTAGGGCCAGTTTAGATGCATCGTTGAAAAATAAGAGTAAAATCAGTGAATATTTTGCATTGCCTTGGTGTTTGGTGTGTCTATTGCATAATCCTTTTCTTTTTTGCTTCTCTTTCCAAAGCAAGGACCAGGCTGGGAACATATATTTATAATGAAGTTCTTTCATTGCAGGTGCATAGTATCTTAGTTAGGTATCTCTGTGCAAGTGTAGTTTGCCTGCAGGTATGACATGTGTTTGAATATAATCCTTTTCTTGCTTCTCTTTTCAAAGCAAGGACCAGTCTGAGAACATATGTTTATATTGAAATTCTTTCATTGCAGACTGCATAGTATCTTAGCTAGGTCTCTCCGGCATGCTACCACAAAAGAGGAGCCATGATGTTATGCCTATATCTGCATCGTCTATCAGTCCTAGAAGTTCTGATCTTCATCTACCGTTAAACCGAGTTCATCTGTCTGGGTATGGATGCACACCTTTTTATGTAATTGGACATTAAAAACTAGAGCATTTGGTTGTACTGCATCTGCCAAAGCACTGTCGAAACAAGAAATTTCAGCTATGTTATGAGCCGAACCATATTATATGTGCATCCTAGGTGGAATGCTTTCTGTTCATGAGCTGGTCTCCCAACATGTACTGTTGAGAAAAGAAAAGAAAGGAGCTTTTAAGTTCTTAAGAGGAGCAAGAGAGCTTATAAGTTGTACACATTAGATCTAGCTTTCTTATGCTGTTTGTCTAATTATTTTCTACTCCCTGTATTTTCAGTTGTGTAATAGTAAACACACCACTGTTTGAAGCATGTTTATGTCTTGCAGATCATATATATCATAGGCCTTTTTTAACTTCAAGCTAACACAAAAAATTGTACAGATAATTTATGGTCGCATTTTGAAAATTCTATTGCATAGTTTGAACCTTCAATTTTCATTACTAAAAGGATCACTGGTATTGCTGCTGTCCACGGCTTCAGCGGAGCTGCTGTCCACGCTTTTATCAGAGCTAATGTTCACGGGATCATCCATGCGAATGCAAGCTCCCCTCATGCTCAGCCGTGGTGGAAGCCTAAAACAACATAGATTATCAATCAACACAGACTAATCAAGTCACATTACTGTGACGATTTGTAAATTTGCCAGAGGTTTTGAATGGGACTTTACACCACCAAATTAGAATGTGTACAAGACACCATTTTTTCGACTAAAGGAGATTATGTTTATTATCATATGTACTTGCCACAGAGGTCTTTTATGATCGAGGCTTGTTCTATAAAAATTTATAAAAGGAATTGTTGAATATATTTAAGTTCCGTAATATGTAGGTCATCTTGTGGTTTGTGGACATTTAATTTTATGGAGTACTTCATAGGAGGTGTTTGGTCTGACACTTCTATGCAGATATTATCATTACACTTATTCTATGTTGTATCACTATTTCAAAACTAACTCCAACTATTACGTTATAGGATCATATGGCAAATTTTACAGCAAAACTAGCTATTTTTAGTGGACTTGAAATTGGATGATGGTAATATAAGAAATCGAGATTTGGAGATGACAGCAACAACACAGACCACATGGATTTTATGATTCTGGATAGACCCCTGAGAATGTAAACAACATTGATCCTGCCATTCTTCTTTTATTAAAGGGAGTTTCATAGATTTTCTTTTCAATGTGCACACTATGGACGAGAGAGGGTCATCGGCCGGCCAGGTCAGGTGCGACATGGTGGTCGCCCATGTCGGTGGTGCCTCGATCCACTCCTGATCCTTCTTCCACTTACCCGCTGCGTAACACCGAGCACCGGTCAGTGAGCATGGGTTTGACAGCGGCGACCAGAAACATGATTTAAAACGGGACTTTATACCACCAAATAAGAGTGTCATTGTACACAACAACACACCAATTTTTTGGCTAAAGGATATCTCATTTATTATCATATGTGCTTGCCCGGGCATATGTTTTGTTTTAAATAAGACTATACTATTAAGTTAAAATGTGTATATTTGTATCATTGCACACAACGATCCACCGTGTTCCCTATTAGAGGGATTAAACCATGTATTTTTTTTTCATCGCGGACATGGCTTCAGCGTGCCTCTAGCGCAGTGGGTCCACTAGTAGTGGTCATACAAACAAGCCCCATGAAGAACTTGACCCTAGGGGAAGCTCATGATTTCGAGTTTAACTTTCAAGTGCTCGTACCGACGCCCCATCTGGAAGAGGGCGTCGTAGCAGCTCTCAGAAGTGTCTATTAGAGTGCATCTAGCAAGGTGAAAAACTGCACCCCGTGGACCATCCACCAAAGCTGGATGTACTCCCATAAGGCTAGAGGCCCTAGGGGCCTCCTAATGTCCGAGATCCAACGACGAGGGTCTCTAGCAGTGGGCCATTTCCTAGTGCCCTTAGGCCTCACTGGTGGAAAAAGGGCCTTTGGTCGCGGTTCGCAACTGCCATTAGTCGCGGTTGCGCAACCGCGACAGACCGGGCGCGACTAAAGGCCCCCCCCCTTTAGTCGCGGTTGCTTAAGAACCGCGACTAAAGGCCCGTCCACGTGGGCGCCAGGTGGCCGTCGGGGCGGAGGACCTTTAGTCGCGGTTCTTCTGGCCAACCGCGACTAAAGGCCGCCGCAGGTTTAGGGTTTTAGCCCCCCCCCCCTTAAACCTGTTTTCTGTTTAATTTG